AAAGAGAGAGAGAGAGAGAGAAAAGAAGACCCACGGCCACCGCCTCAGGCGTTCTCTGTCTCTCTCTTTTTGTTTTTGCTTCTCTCTCTCTCTCTCTCGCTCGAGGTTTTGGTCGGCGGTCCTCTCTCCAAGGGGAGAGAGAGGGAGAGAGAAAGAGGCGGACCAGGAGCCTGGAGGCCTTCCCATTTCCGTGCCCATTCCCCCCGCCCTCCCCCCACCCCCTCCCTCGCCCCTCCCCCTCCCTCCCCCTAGAAGCCTCCTCGCCCCCCTCTCCATCTACCTCCCTCCCTCCCCTCCGAAGCCTCTTCGTCCCTCTCCCCATCCTCCCCTTCCCCCCCCCCTCCCCCGCCCTCCTCCACCCCCCCTCCCCTCCCTCCCATCCACCCCATCCCTTCGACAATTACAAATCATGAATACTACGTGCTCCTCTCTCCCCCGAAGACGGCTGCGAGGTGTCCTGGTTTACTCCGCATTTTTTTATACCGGATGCCGCCGAGCTGAGAGTCATCATGTGCTTTTCCCATCCAAGCGTTTTCAGTCTTTTCGGAACGGCGCCCCCGCTACTGCGTTGACTCCACTTTCCCGTTTTCAGGCCTTCTAAACTATGTGTTCGCTGCAGCGCTGACTTCATTTCGGACCACTGCCCTGTCCGACATTTGACTGGGCGAGTAGAGAGGAGATCTGTGCAATGGTTAGTGATGGGAAGGAGCGGGCAGGACGTCATATTGATACGACACTTGCGCATTTAGCTCGCCCCCTCCTCCTCTCCTCCCCCCCCCCGCCCATTTTCATAGCTTCTTCTGTTCCTCGAGCGCGGCCTGCCCGAGCCATGCCCGCCGCGACGGCCGGCGCCCTTGTGGTGGACGGCGCCCTGCCCGCCGCCCTGCTGGACGCCGCGGGGCGCGAGGTCGCCGAGCTGGAGGCGCTGCAAGAGGCCGGGGCGCGCCGACGACGGCGGCGGCGACGGTGGCGACGACGACGACGATGACGACGACGACGACGACGACGACGACGACGGCGGCGACGACGACAACGACAGCGACGGCTGCGGCGAAGACGACGACGACGGCGACGACGGCGACGGCCACGACGCCGACGACGGCGGGGGCGACTTCGGCAAAGACGACGACCACGACAGCGGAGAGGACGACGACCACGACGATGATGGCGATGGCGGCGACGGCAACGGCGACGACAACGACCACGGTGGCGGCGGCGGCGGCGGCGACGACGACGACGACGACGATGGCGGTGGCGGCAACGACGATGACGACGACGGCGGCGACGACGACGGCGACGACTACGACGACGGCGGCGGCGGCGACGACGACTGCGACTGCGGAGACGAAGACGACGACGGTCGCGGCGGCGGCGGCCGCGACGACGACGACGACGGCCGCGACGACGACGACGACGACGACGACGACTGCGACAACGACGACGATGACGAGTACGACGGCGACGGCGGCGGCGACGACGACGACGATGGGGGGGGCGGCGGGAGCGACGACGACTCCGACGACGACGACGACAACGACGGCGGCGACAACGATGACGACGACGGCCACGGCCACGGCCATGGCGACGACGACGACGACGACGACGACGGCGACGGCGGCGGTGGCGACGACGTGTGCGACGACGACCACGACGACGACGACGGCGACCACGACGACGACGACGACGACGACGACGACGACGACGACGACGACGACGACGACGACGACGACGACGACGACTGCGTCGACGACGACGACGGCGGTGGCGACGACGACTACGGCGACGACGATGACGACGACGGCGACGACGGCGACGACGACGATGGCGGACGACGGCGGCGACGACGACGACGGTGACGGCGACGACGACGACGGCGGCGGCGCCGATGACGACGACGACGACGACGACGATAACGACTACGATGACGACAAACGCGGCAACGACGACGACGACGACGACGACGTTGGCGACGACGGCGACGACGACGATGACGACGACGGCAACGACGACGACGACGACGGTGGTGGCGGCGGCGACGACGACGACGGGGGCCACAACGACGACAGCGGCGGCGTCGGCGGCGGAGACGGCGGCGACGCGACGACGACGACTGCGACGACAGCGACGACGACGACGACGGCGGCGGCGGCGCCGATGACGACGACGACGACGATAACGACTACGATGACGACAAACGCGGCACCGACGACGACGACGTTGGCGACGACGGCGACGACGACGATGACGACGACGGCAACGACGACGACGACGACGGTGGTGGCGGCGGCGACGACGACAACGGGGGCCACAACGACGACAGCGGCGGCGTCGGCGGCGGAGACGGCGGCGACGGCGACGACGACGACTGCGACGACAGCGACGACGACGACGACGGCGGCGACGACGACGACGGCGGCGACGACGATAACGACGGCGACGATGACAACGCCGACGACGACGACGACAACGACGACGACGACGACAACGGTGGCGACGGCGGCGACGACGACGACGGCGGCGACGACCACGTCGGCGGCGGCGGAGACGACGACTACAACGGCGGCGACGACTGCGTCGAGGACGACGGCGGCGGCGGTGCCGGCGTCGGCAACAACGACGACGACGACGACGACGACGACGACGACGACGACGACGGCGACTGCGGCGGCGACGACGACGACGACGACGACGGCGGGGGCGACGACGACGACGACGACGACGACGACGACGACGACGACGACGACGACGACGACGGCGACGACGACGACGACGACAACGACGACGACGACGGATGCGACGGTGACGACGACAACGACAACGACGGTGGCGGCGGTGGTGGTGCCGACGACGACGACGGTGGCGGCGGCGTCGACGACGGCGACGGTGGCGTTGATGGCGACGACGACGACGACGACGACGACGACGGCGGCGGCGTGGAAGAATTCTCCCCCACTGCCGGAGCACAAAGGGAAGCTTGTTGCCAAGGTTTCTTGTGAGTTGACAGCCAGTGCGCGGCATCTGAACAGGATCCCACGGTATCGCGTCGTGCCCTCCCGCCCACAAGGCGAGCAGAGGAAAACACTGGGTAAGTTCGGGACCGCGATAGCATGAATTGTGTGAGGTTGTCCTTCTTGTGTGCCATATTCGTGCTGCGCGCTGGTTCACAGCCACGCTTGCTTTTTTTTTCATTCGCTTGTTCCCACCCGCATCGCAATGTCTGGCACTGCCCTTGTGTGCTGCTGCTGTGTTGCTTCTCACTGCTGCTGTCCGCAGCGCAGTGCCGGAGCAGGTGGGACTCCTCTCTTGCTTCCATGAGCCGTTAATTCGAATCGCATCGCATCGCATCCTCCTCGTTCGTAGTCCCCGTCATTGTCCTTCGTCCTCCTCTTCCTCCTCGATGTCTCGCTCTTGCGAGCGCGCGGCCGCTTGCCATCGCTCTTCATAGAGGGTGCTTCAGACGCTCCCGAGGCCCATATCGCGCCTTCTCGTAGTCTGCTTGCCCGGCTCTATCGTATGCTTAGACGTTTTGGGAATCCTCCGCATCTCTGCTGATCATAGAGGCACGCTGACGCAATGCCCGCTTCGAGTCACAAGCCTGCTCCCCCGCCTCCTCTCCCCCGCAAAGGCCGAGGGTGGCGCCTGCGGCGCGCTCGAGGACCGCCGCCGCGGGGCGTCATCGCCGTTGGCGTCGTCGTCAGAGGAGATTTGCTTCCAAAAATTGCATGTTCACGAAGGCGAGGATGGGCCGGGCCCCCTCCACCCCACCTGTGCGCATCCAGGCACAGCGCGCGCTTGCTGAAGAGCCCCACGCAGAGTCCATCCGCGCACGCGTCCCCTCACCTCTTTTTCCCCTGCTGTTTTCCTCCGTGTTCCCCTGCAGCGGCCTCGCCCCGCGCCTTCGAGTCCGCGTCGCCACCCTGCCGCGTCGCCTCCGTGCCGCGTCGCGTCGGTCAGAGCCCTCGCGGCCGCCGCCCTCCCCAGGATTCGGCCGCTCAGGGCCTCCGCCCGATGGGCGGCGTCGGGCTTTGGCGCATCGCGGGTTTGCCCCCCGTCCGGCTGCGGCGTGGAGTTCTGCCACCCCGGGCAGAGCTCGGACGACCCGGTGCCAGTGCACGGACAGAGCTGGCTCGGGCAGCTGCGCGGAACACGACGTGCAGTCGAGCCTCGCCATCTCATCCAGCGCAGTGGCGCTTCGGCGCCACAGCCTGATGTCTCTCGGGCCCGGCGCGCCGGCGCAGACTGCACATTCGAGGGCGCAGCTGAGCGTGCTGGATCCAGAGTGCGCACGGGCCTCCAGAGGTCCAACGATGCGAGACGGCACCGCTGCGGCAGAAGACCCTGAACAGCTTCACGCAGTTGTGTGGAGGGGGGCCACGCTGGGCCACCGAGCCCGGGCCCAGGCCCCCTCAGGCCTCAGGATACAAGTATGCAGACAAGCTGTTCAGGGAAAGGCTGCTCGAATTCTGCCGTCGCCAAGTCCAGGCACCCTCTGACAGGATTTGCTTCAATCCCCCAGGCCCCCGACGTCGTGATTTTTTCATAACGTCGACCCCCACATGTCCGGACCCCTTCCCCGGGACCGGCTTGTCATCCCGAGTCGTTTTGTTGACGGCCCCGGGGCCCGGTAAGTGCCCCCAGAAGCCGAGGGTCCGGGCCGCGGCCCCCTGGAGGTCTCGAGCCTGTTCCTGGGGGTATAGTCTCGCGTCGGCCCCCACGGCCGACATGGCGGACAGAGCGCGCCAGGCGGCACAGCCAGACGGCCCGCGATCTGGGGCCGCTGCTGTGGGCCGCGAGAGTTATGATGTTCTAACCGACATTAGCCTTGATCATCAGAAGGAGTTTCGAGCACCAGGAAGAAAGTACCGAGGCTCGAGGGTCTTCTTCACGTGCCGGGCCCCGGGAGGCGATGCTCCCTCGACGCCGTCTCGATACTCTTCTGGGCGCCCGCGCTTCTTCCAGGGATGGGGTCCTCGAGCACGCTGGGAGCAACAGCGCGCGAGAGCCGCTCTGGCCCGAGGCGGCTCCGGGGCGAGTTGGGCCGCGGCGCCCGCCGCCGGGGCGCGCCCTAAGGGCCCTATAGCGGCGCGGCCGGGGGGGCGGGCGAGGGGCGGCGGCCGCGCGATGCTGTCGCCGCCCGAGAGCCCCGAGTGCGCCCGCAGGGGGCGCCGCTGGGCGGAGTATCGGGCCGACCCGGCGGGCGCGGGGGGGGGGGGCGGGGAGGGGGGATGCCAAGCTAGGTGCGCTCGCGTCATATCTGACGTCCTCCTCCCTGCCCCTCCCTCCCATCCCTTACCATGGCGCTGATTTTCTCTATCCGCGGACGCGTGTCGTAGCGGACCTGTGGCTCCGCGCGCGCGTGCGTAGTGGGTGGTGGTGCACGTGCGTGCGTGCGTGCGTGCGTGTGTGCGTGGTTGTGGTGGTGCTGGTGCTGGTGCTGGTGCTGGTGCTGGTGCTGGTGCTGGTGCTCGTGCTCGTGCTGGTGCTGGTACTGGTGCTGGTGTTGGTTGTGATGGTGGTGGTGGTGGTGGTGGTGGTGGTGGTGGTGGTGGTGGTGGTGGTGGTGGTGGTGGTGGGTGGTGGTGCGGCGCGGTGGTGGCGGGCGGATGGGCGCGCGAGAAAGAGGCCCGCGCTGGGGCGAGAACGCCATCCTGAACGACGGAGGCCAAACACCGATCCGAAAATGAGGCCCACGCTGCAGCGGGAGCACGATTCGGAACGATTCGGGAGCAGAAATGAGGCCGGCGCCTCAGCGAGAGCATTATACAAAAAACGCAGGCGAAAACCCGTTTCCCAGGAATCCTGCGTGTAAAAAAGCAGTACGCGGGGAGCGTTCGGCCCGAAAATGACGCCGGCGCCTCAGCGAGAGTCGTTTCCCGGGATTTCCCGGGCATCCTGTGTGTAAAAAACAGTACACGGAGAATGCGCGGCCATCACCCGGACGCCATCAGGGGAAGAGGGAGAGTATTTTCATATTGAGTAATTGTGAAGTCCCTGACGACGGGACGGGGTGGGCACGAGCGGGCATCATGGCCAGCTCAAGATCAAAAGAGGCATTATATAGGCCTCGTCAGTCTAGATTGATCCACTCACGGATCCACTGCAGTTTATCTCCATTGATTTCATTCCATGCGTAGCATGCTCACCCCCGGTCAAGCTCTGGAAGAGTCACGGCGGGAGGTTTTTGGTTGCGCAGGTGTTGGTTCGGCGTCCGGAGGCCCTGCCTGGGCCTCGGGGCCGTCAAGAAGCGTTTCAGGCCGAGAAGCCGGTCCCGGGGAAGGGGTCGAAGCCTTTGGGGGCCGACGTTGTGGAGAAGGCACGGCGTCGGGGGTCTCTGTAGGTGCGGAAAAGTAAAGCATAGCCAAGACAAAGACACGAAAATACCCCTTAAAATAGTCAACAACTCGTCTCCATATTCATGCTTTTGCAATTTTGAACCATCCTCCTGTAGAGGGACATGCCCGACGTAAGTCTGGGAGGGAGGATCGGGGGATCGCCAGCACCCAGATCTTGGAGGGCCCAGTCTACCTGCTTCTAGAACATCCATCTCGGGCCTGGGCCAAGTGCCGCTCTCACGTGCTAGCCACAGACGTTGACGGACACACTGGGTCCCAAACATGATCGCGTCGTAAAAGAAATCAGGACGGGAGGTTTCTACCAGTTTTCGGCCCCGGGGGGCCCTCGTCGAGCCTCGGGACCGTCACAAAACGACTCCGGACGAAAAACCGGTCTTGGGGAAAAAGGTCGGGATTTCCAGGGACGCCGTCCTGAAAAAATCAGGACGCCGCATGTCTGGGGCTCTCACGTTTTAGCCACAGGCGTTGACAGAGACACATTGGGTGCCGTTACGTCTGTAGGCGCATTCGGGGTGGATGCTTCTATGGACAACGTGCCCGTTGCGTTCTGTTCGGTGCAGGGTCGGAGAAAGGGTAGATCCGTTTGCGGTACGTTCCTGTTCTAGAGCAGCTCCCACATGACACTCCAACCCAGATCTCCGAGGATAGGATGGTTTTCCATCCCGGCGTCTTTCTCGTTTTCGAAATCTTGGGCCCATGACAACTGGATGCGCTGCGGAAGACCTGCACCGGGGACCTCTGGGGCGCGGCGCCGCGGAGGAAGACTGGGGGGGGGAGATCGGGCCTCGGGTCGCGCACGGGCAGCTCCCCCAGATAGTCCCAGCTGGCCTCCCCACCGAGCGGCCGGTGGGCGGTCTCGGCACCTCGGCGCCGCCTCCGGCGGCGCCCCCCGGGGCGGGTGCGCGACGCGGGGCGGGGATGCCGAGGCCGCCTCGGGCCACTCGTGCGGGGGGGCGTGCCGAGGCCCGCTGGGGCCACCTGGAGGAGCTCTCTCCTGCGCGCAGCCCGGCGCCTTCCCGGCGGAGGGGGGGCGCATCGGGCGGTCGCAGCTGGCATCCAGGGGTGCCCGCCGCGTGCGCGCCAAGAGTCCCGGCGGGAGGTTTTTGGGGGCAGTTTTTTCGGCCTCCGCGGAGGAGGCCGCCGCCGGACCCCGGGGCTCGGGATGAGGAGCGGGCCCGAGCGAGAGGGTAGTCATCACCCACCAAACCACCCCAACCAAACCCGAAGGCCTCAAATTGACCTCCATTTCCAGTGGGGGGGGGCTCGTGGAACATCGAGAAAACACATATGGAACCCGTACCCCCCCCCCAACCCGAAATTCGGGTCTTCGGGTTGGGTTGGGGTGGTCTGGTGGGTAGTCAGGTAGGGACATCCATGGTTCCTGCGCTATGAGGTTCCAGCCTTCTTTTGGGCGTCGAGCAAGGGGGGAAAGTGAGAGGGAGTGGGCCTTGTCAGGAGGCGGCGGGACTTCTCAGAGGCCCTCGCGCCTCCTGAGAAATTGTTGTTGCTGTCTGCGGGGAAGGCTTACAACCCTCAGCAGAATGCTGGGGGACGTCCGAGCCTTCTGAGAAGGCCCGCCCCTGCTCACTTCCCCCCTCGCTCGCCGCCGAGCTTTAGCCTGGACCTCCAGAAAGAACCTCGAGCGCCCAGAAAGTACCGAAACTGAAGGGTTGTCACGAGTCGGGCCCTAGGAGGCGATACTCCTTCGGCACTTCGCTAGCGCGTCGGACATACACTGTTTCGATATGTTGTTCGGGCGTTTGGAATCGTTTCTGTGATGCGGTCCGTAAGTACGATGGGAGCAACAGAATTCTTGCGTTTAAGATCTTCAAGACGTCGGATGTCTGGGGCAGGGGGGTCGCCACCTCCGCATGGAAACCGAGGGCCGAGGAGGATGGACGATCGAGAACGTTCTGGACCCTCTCAGTCGTCTACTTCAGGGGGTCCCAGGGGGGTGGGGTATCGAGGCGAGACTTCGGTCCACGCCCAGCGACTCGCCAGCGTGGCGGCGCGGACCATCGCCGCTACGGGACGGGCCGGCCAGGGAAAGCGGGCCAGACAAGGGGCTGGGACGGGCGGGAGAGCGAGGAGCCACAGAGCGAGAAACGGAGGGGGACGGGGAGGGAGGACGGCTAGAAAGCACAGAGCGCGGAGGGGGGGTCTGCCTCCTGGAGGAGATGGCGACCCGCTCAGCGTTGACCCCCCCCATTTGGCCCGTGGGAGGAGGGAGGCCCAGAGCTCTGGCATCAGCAGTTGTTCCAGCCCTCCCTCGGACTGGGCACTCGCTTTGAAGAGACCACTGTGGCCTCCGAGTGCCTCGCCTCCTCTGGAGCAGTGGCGTAGCGTCCTGGCTCGCCTGCAGGCTATATAGGCCCGCCAGAGAGTGTTCTCAGAACCGTTTGTGGTTTGCACGAAATGTTCGTAGAACAGTTCTGGCTGAGGCCGTCCTCTTTTGATACGTCGGCTGTATGTGCTAAGACCACTGGTTTTGGCATGAGAGCATTCGTTCATTCTAAGAGCATGTCGTTGTAGTCCTGTGGGAATGCTGGGACGGTCGGCCCCTGCTTAGTCATCCTTCTTCTCCTTCTCCTCCTCCTCCGCTTCCTCCTCGCTTTCCCTCTCTCCCCCTCGCGGTTCCCTGAGGCCCAGGGGGACTGCGAAGTGCGCATCTGTCGTCCTTTTCGCGTGCGCCTGGGAGGCACGGCGGCATGGAGGGCCGCGCAGATCCAGGCCAGACTTTGCGGCTTTCTGGGGGGCTGCGACTCGCGCAAGTGTCGCCACTGCCGTGGGTTCCTGGGAGGCGCGGCGGAGCGGAGGGCCGCGCAGATCCGGGCTAGACCTCGCGGCTCCGTGGGGGGCTGCGGATTGCGCGACGGTCGCCATCTCCATCATGTCCACGGGCTCTCGGGAGGCCGCCAGAGCGTTGCATCGTGGAGCCCGTGCGCACGGAGCGCTGCATGAGAGAGGCGCAAAGGTTGGCGCGGGAGCTCGGTTTGGATAAGTTGCCGCACGACTGACGGAGCAACCCGCCGGGGATCTCAGGCGCCCTCGCCTCGCCTCCCCAGTGATGCTTCAATGGCGCGTCGGCGACGCTTAAAACTGGCGGCGGCCAGGCGCATCCAGAATACCAAGAGCTACCATAGCTCGCAGCGCTGTCCCGTCACATGGCGTGCGATGATGTGACGACGCTGATCGCACTGCGTGGCGCGCATGCCGCCGCTTTGGGTCTTGGTCACATCCCCTTTTATCCGCTGCGTGTTGCTTGGCATACACGCAGGAATGTACGCCGTTCAACGCGACACGCTTGGTTTCAATTTCGCACACGGCGGTGTTCTGTCACGCGGATGTAGCGCACAACGGTTTCATTTATCACTGAACAGATTCCCCGCCACTCTCTCCTCCGCATGTTTCTGCCCCCTTTCTTTTGGTGGAAACGCTGGAGAAACAGATGCGCTAAGGACCATACCATCATGACGCATGCGGGGGACTGGTTTGAAAGGTGTCCCCAATGGTGTTTCAAATCGCCCGACTCGCTCACGCTTGACATTCACCAACAAACAGGAGGCGTGGAGCGTGAGGACTGGGCGCGCAAGAAAAGACTGGGCGCCGAGACAGAAAACCATGGTGCAATGAATTTCGGAGGCGCTAGTGGAAACAATGATGGCCAAGTGACATTGAGGGACCATTACGAGGTTTGGAACGCAGAGGGTTATGTTGACGACGATGGATACTGGTGATCGAACGACACTGAGTGGGGTCATAAAGACGATCGCAGCGGAGGACAAGGAGCACACGCAAATGTTACATGTGCCGTTACTGCAGACACACTGCTGCGAGGAA